TAGGTCAGTGATGGCGAACCTTTTGAGCTCGGCGTGTCAGCATTTTGCAAAACCCTAACTTAACTCTGGTGCCGTGTCACATATAGAAATTTTTTGATATTTGCAACCATAGTAAAACAAAGACTTATATTTTTGATATTTATTTTATATATTTAAATGCCATTTAACAAAGAAAAATCAACCAAAAAAATGAGTTCGAGTGTCACCTCTGACACGCATGTCATAGGTTTGCCATCACTGAGTCTGTAACACTCATTTTGGTCCATCTTCATATACTTCCTTGTACCCACATTTTGCCTCACGGAAAAAGCATATCCCCTCCCAACTCCCCATGCAGCAGAACCCGGTAAAGATGGCTGGGAAGCTGCAAACACACAACATTGCCAACATCCATAACTGGATCGAGAACTTGCCTCCTCTCCTCCACACCCCGCCCCCCCCAGAGCCCGGAAAAGCCAAAAGCACAGGGGAGGGGGGGTAGGAGGGAGTTCTGGGAACTCTCAAAACCAGGGCCACACCACACTGCCCCACCATTACCAGGCCAGCCGGTCACATAGGGACTCCCACCATCAGGGCATTTTCCAGCAATCCCAGAGGGAAAGGAGAGCAGGTCAGAGAAAATAGGAACGTACCTAGGGCACCACCTACAGGGGAAAAGGAAGTAAGCTACCTATCGGCCTGCAGAATTGTTGAGCAATTCACCTGTCGGTCATTAGCAAACCGACAAACAAGATCAGGTGAGGATGTGAAGAGACGGGAACCCTCACGCACAGATGGCGGGAATGCAGACTGAAGCAGCCGCTATGGAAACCAGTACGGAGGTTCTTCCAACAACTGAACACAGAACTACCAAACCACCTAGCGATCCCACGTCTGGGCGTTTTCCAAAGAAAACGAACTCTAATTCGAAAAGCTATCTGCACCCTACGTTCACTGCAGCATTATTTACAATAGCCAAGATGTGGAAGCAACCTAGGGGTCCATTCATAGGTGAATGGATAAAGTGGTACATATATACAATGAAATGTTCCTCGTGGGAAAAAATCTTGCCATTTGCAACAACATGGGTGGACCTAGGCAGTGATGGCGAACCTATGACACGCGTGTCAGAGGTGACACGCGAACTCATTTCTTTGGTTGATTTTTCTTTGTTAAATGGCATTTAAATATATAAAATAAATATCAAAAATATAAGTCTTTGTTTTACTATGGTTGCAAATATCAAAAAATTTCTATATGTGACACGGAACCAGAGTTAAGTTAGGGTTTTTCAAAATGCTGGCAAGCCGAGCTCAAAAGGTTCGCCATCACTGATAGAGGGTATTATGCTCAGTGAAATAAGTCAGAGGAAGACAAGTACCATATGATTTCACTTATGTGTGGAATCTAAAAAAAAAAAAAAGCACAGAAAGAAATCAAACTGATGGTTGTCAGATGGGGGCTAGGGGATGGGTGATAAATTGGCACTCGGACACAGGTTACTACAATTAGTGAGATGACCACATTGTAAAGTATGCAAATGTCAGATCACCGTAGTGTACACCTAAAACTAATATAAGTAATATAATTTTGTATGTAAAATAAATAAAATTTAAAACCTAGGTAATACATGTTTACTAAGTATTTTCCTAACTTTTGAATTAGGTTAAAATTCGCTCGCTCTCCCGCCGAGTCCCCCTGCACCTGTAGCTCAGAACACACGCTCACAGCGTCGTTGCTTTTCTCCCGTGAAATCTGTGAAGGAAGGAACCCTGACTCTACTACCTTCTCCATCGCCACCGCGCCCAGGCCGGGGCTCGGCGGGTGCTGGGGACACAGTGCAGGCGAAAGACACCGAAACACACGAAACCGTAAGGATAACGACCACGCAACAGGGCGAAATGTCAAGCTCACTGCCAGGCCTGAACCCCCACAAAGCATCTTACCAGTGAAGTGCCGCGATGACGCTGTCCCCCACGCCGGCGTCACGAGTCATTCTTCAAAGCTGGGCCCAGCACGTCGCCGAGACTGACATCCCCTGAGGTACAAAAGCCGCCCAAAGGGCGGCTAAGGGCGAGGCCGGCCCACTGGGGACACTTCCGCTCCCTGGAAGCCGGGGGGAGCGCTGCGACTTCACCCCGCGGGACAGCTCCGCGGACCCGGCCACCAGCTCTGCGACCCTCGCTCCTGCCGAGTCGGCCTCTGCCCGCGGAGGGGAAAGGCAAGGGACAGGGTGTCCCACCTGGCACGCTCCACCGGAGCCTCTCGGGTGCCAAGGCAAGGCCAGCCCAGCCGCCAAAAGCCGCCGTTGAAAATCCGCAATTCACTCGCTCGCCGCCGCCGCCTCGTTTAAAATCGTTTCCCGACTCACACTGCGGCCCGACGCCGGAAGCCTCCCAGGCGCGAATTCCAAGTCAGTGAAGCAACTACGGTCGCCATTTTTACTGAGGGCACGTTCGAGCAATCTAACCATTAGCCTCACGTTTGAAAGCGCGCGGCGACGGACAGCGGTTTCCCAACGGCGCGAAGCTTTCCTTCCAATTTCCGGTCGCACTAAGCATGGCGGCGGGGCCTCCGCTCTGATTGGTTGATTGACTTCACCGTAGTCTTGGGCGCTCGCGAGCGCTTTGAGGAGTGCTTGGTTCACCCTGCCGCTGTGCCGGGAGAATCGGACCCTCACAACGTTTTGGATTTGCCCTCTTCCTCATTTTGAATATCCGAGGTCGGCGCCAGAATTGAAACGCGAGGCTGGGTTCTCCCTGTTTCCCGGTTCTGCCGCGGGAACCTTTGGGGAAGCGCGGAAGGAAAGGAAGGGCGTGCGCTTGATGACCGGCCCCTTCAGTCTCTCCCTGGGCGTGGGGTTCCCTCTTGCGCTGCTGTGAGGACGCGTCCTTGTACATCTGGCCGCAGCTGTGTTTGTTAGCAGAAGTGGAAACTGATGCATGGAGAAGGAGAGAAAGGTCTTTCTTCTACCCACTCTCCAAGGACCCCAAAGACCTTGTAAATCGATTCGCTGTCCAGACACGTGTACTTGAATGTTCAGCGGAGAAGGGCTTAAATACTGGAGCAGAACGTGGGAACTCCTAGCATTTTAAGGGATTCGCGTGTATTTCCAAAAATGATCGTTGACCACCGTCCAGCACCGGCAGTGTGGGATCCGTGAGCGTCTCGCCCTCCAGCGGCTTCAACATGTTCTCCAGTTGGTTACCTGGGCTAAATAGGGGCTTGGCCACACCCACCGGAAGGATCGCGCTGCTGGTCGGTCGGTCTCCATCCAGAAGTCTGCAGCTGAGCTCACGACGGAGCGTTCCAGGTGAAAGCAGTGAGGAGCTCGTGACCTCCGGAACGCACTTTCTCCTGTTCTCCATTCCCCGCTAGTCTTAACTGGATGGATGGTCTTAATGTAAAAGCAGATCATTCACCCTCTTCCTTTCTTATACTATAGTGTGTGTGTTTGCCTGGAGTTTAAAAAGACCAGAAAATGAGCCACATAGATAGGCTTTCAGTTAATGCTACTAAATCTCAAAATTTTTAAGTGTACATGGTGACTGTTCCACTTTCACACTAAAGTTAGTCACTGCACCATCCAACTTCCGTGATTCCTAAGGTCCTATTGGGTATGGGAAGGATCTGTGCTGAGCTATTAAGAATAGGGTAATTTTAGGTCAATGCAAATGCTTGGTGATGAAGAAAATTTTGATTTCCTAACATAAGGCAAAAATTTAAGACAGTTATTTAGTTGGCTTTTGACACATTTACCTTTGACATTATAGATTTAATAGTGATTGAATCAAATTACGTACTTAGATTTACTTTATAAATTTTATCCATGGACATGAAATACCTAAGATGATGTGATTTGAAGTCTTTATTTTTAAGCAGTTTGGAAATAGATTTTTAATCTTGCTTTTTTCTTTTTTCTTTAGAACTCAGTAGCTTTGTTGCCCGGACCAACACGTGTGGAGAGTTGCGTTCTTCGCACTTAGGCCAAGAAGTCACCTTGTGTGGATGGATTCAGTACCGAAGGTAAATTGACGCAGATGGTGTAAGAATGCGTAGTGTTGTCAGAAGAGTAAAAGCTTTGCAACTCCTACAAGATTCTCAAAATTCGTTAAGTTTTCCATTTTGTTTTGAAAGGCCCAAATACTGTTACTCTGAGTAAGTACCACTAGCATATGTTGAAGGGTATAAGGAAGTGTGATCCACCAATGAACAGAAATGCCCCTTGACTTACAAACAAGGGTTGAAGTCTCCTGACAAGAAAATTCTGAGACGTCCTAAATTAAATTACTGCAGGTCAGAGGGCGAAGGAAGAGATAAAGGGGTTAATTGGTTAACAGCTATAGTGCAAAACCAACAAAAGACTGCTCACACTCCTTAGTGCAGTGGTCGGCAAAACCATTAGTCAACAGAGCCAAACATCAACAGTACAACAATTGAAATTTCTTTTGAGAGCCAAATTTTTTAAACTTAAACTATATAGGTAGGTACATTGTTATTAACTTAATTAGGGTACGCCTAAGGCTTAGGAAGAGTCACACTCAAGGGGCCAAAGAGCCGCATGTGGTTCGAGAGCCGCAGTTTGCCAACCACGGCCTTCGTGTATGTTGGAATTATAATTAACATTCAGGTGGCATTTCTGAGATTATATAAAAAGAGTGAATAGCCAGGCCTTGTGTATGTTGGAATTATAATTAACATCCAGGTGGCTGTTTCTGAGATTATATAAAAAGAGTGAATAGCCAGGCCTGTTAGACCCCAGCAGCCTCTGCTTCTTGTTCACACATGAGCTTTACAGATTCTGCTGCTGTGCCCTAGCCCATAGTAGCCCTGCTTCACCTTCACCTATTCCCTTTGTCTATAGCTAATGTTCGTTCTTTCAGAACGGCTCCAAGCATGTCAAACGTGAGGCCGGCGGGCCCCATGCCTCATTTATTTAAGGCGTCACACCTTTCTCCCTGTTTCAGGTATAAAAACACTTGCAAAATTCGGGGATAACGGACATGCTGTTTTTTTTTCTATCTAACCATGCTGCTCCATGCCCCAAGACCAGTCTTTTTTTGTGTTGTTGTGGTTTTTGTTTTTTGGGGTTTTTTTGTGTGTTTTTTTTGGTAGCAATGGTCTAATAAACACTTTCTTATAAAAAGACTTTCAGCCACGGAATTTAACTTTTTAGTTTAAAACTCCCAAAGACTAGTAATTGGGAATAGGCCAGCTAGTAAGTTCCAAGAGCATGAACAAGCTTATTTTATTCTAAATTTAGGTAGAGAACATGATTCTTTAAGATTAGAGCTCTTTTGTTGTTGTATTCTAGAACATTTCTGAATAATACAGTAATTCACATTGAAGAGATCCAAATATATAGATAGTGTGACCTCTTTAAAGAATATGTCCCAAATGGACGGACATTTGACCCATAAATTTGTTGATTTTATCTTCTCAAAATCAGAGGAGGTGCCCAGCCAGCATAGCTCACTGATTGAGCATCGACCTATGAACCAGAAGGTCATGGTTTGATTCCCAGTCAGGGCACATGCCCGGGTTGTGGGCTCGATCCCGTGGGCCGTACAGGAAGCAGCAGATCAATGATTCTCTCTTATCCTTGATGTTTCTATCTCTCCCTCTCCCTTCCTCTCTGAAATCAATATATATATATTTTTTTAAATCAGAGGAGGCTTTCTGAACCTCTTGTTGGTAGTAAAGACAATATGAAAAATGTAGATTGAATGCTAAAAATGTTGGGGTTTGGGGGACCTTTTGATGGTTTATAGAGATATTAAATTAGTAGTTGGACCTCCTCTAGAAAATTTTAGATTGTATCTTTTTTTTAGGAAAAGGCTTTATATTGCTGTACTTCAAAAATGTCCAATCAGATGTTTTTAGTATCCTAAAATAGTCTCTTGGATTTTAATATGTGGAAAGTTTTCAAACTTAATAAAATTTTCTTGTAAAGATCTAAGCCAATGAAAGTTAAAACATTTTTTAAATCTTTTTTCTCTTGGATTTTAATATGTGGAAAGTTTTCAAATTTAATAAAATTTTCTTGTAAAGACCTAAGCCAGTGATGGCGAACCTTTTGAGCTCGGCATGTCAGCATTTTGAAAAACCCTAATTCAACTCTGGTGCCGTGTCACATATAGAAATTTTTTGATATTTGCAACCATAGTAAAACAAAGATTTATATTTTTTATCTTTATTTTATATATTTAAATGCCATTTAACAAAGAAAAATCAACCAAAAAAATGAGTTCGCGTGTCACCTTTGACACGCGTGTCATAGGTTCGCCATCACTGACCTAAGCCAATGAAAGTTATGACCAGTCGACCAGTCACTATGATGCACACTGACCACCAGGGGGCAGACACGCCACACAGGAGCTGCCACCTGGTGGTCAGTGCGCTCCCACAGCCAACCTCCCGTAGCCAGCCAACCTCCTGCGGTCCCTCCCCCTGGCCGGCCAACCCCAATCGGCCCTAATCACCAGTCAGGCTGAGGTACCCCACCCGTGCATGAATTTGTACACCAGGCCTCTAGTATAGCCAATAAAAATTGAAAACAAAAAGAAGTTTTTTGGATTTTTTTCATTAATAAGCTACATAGAGCCCTGGCTCGGTTGGTTGGAGTGTCATCCCATATACCCAAAGGTTTCGTGTTCGATCCCTGGTCAGGGCACATACTGAGGTTTCAGGTTTGATCCCCAGTCAGGGTGCATTCCAGAGGCAACTCATCAATGTTTCTCTCTCGATGTTTTTTTTTTTCTCTCTCTCCCTTCCTTTCTCTAAAATCAATAAACATATCCCTAGGTGAGGATTAAAAAAAAAAAGCTACATAGACAATTTCATGACTGTCTATATATATAAAAGGCTAAGTGTCTGTCCATCCTACCAGTAGCTATGATGTGCACTGGCCATTTAAAAATGAACAGCACCACAGACCTGGCGCTGACAAACCAACGCTCAGCTTCCCCCAAGTGGGACACGGGCTCCACCACCACCTACATAGAAAATTTCGTGACTATCTATATATATCTATATATATAAAAGGCTAAGTGTCTGTCCGTCCTACCAGTAGCTATGATGTGCACTGGTCATTTAAAAATGAACAGCACCACAGACCTGGCGCCGACAAACCAACGCTCAGCTTCCCCCAAGTGGGACACGGGCTCCACCACCACCCCGGAGCAACACCAAATCACAGCCAACGCCGCCAAGACCCCATGGCACAAAATGCAGCCCACAGCCCAGTCCAGAAACGGTCACTGTGGGCGCGGGGTAATAACATCACGTAGCAACGCCCAGCTTCCTCTCCCTAGTGACTAGCATCCTTGGAGTTTCTTCAGCCCAGGAACCCAACTTGCTTTATAGCCAGGTGCAAACATTTTATAGTTTAACCAAATGTTTGTGAAGCGTTTT